ACAATTATAAGGATTATCCAAATAAATGTCAATGTCAATCAAAATTGTATGACGAAGAATAATCACTAAGCGATCTGCTTGATACTTTGCATACTTTTGTTCTTATTCTGCTCACACACGAAAGTGTTTATAATACTTAATGAAGTTAATGCGCATAAGAAATTTTTGCATTCAGTCTTTTCTTTTTGTTTTACCAAATCCACTAATTCTTAATTGGGAATTATTCGTGAATAACGTTGGTGATGGACCGGCTTACTTATTTAATGTAACCATGTTCTTATGTGGAGCTTAAGTTACAACAAAAGGCCTTTCATCTAAATCTATTGCTGGCTCTGTCACCTAGGTGGTACAATTTCTCTGTCCGCACATTAAGCTGACATTCTATCATCACTGTTCTGCTCAAAGTAGCTTTTAGAGCTCCTCCGTGTCTCTTCCCTTGCGAATTAAAACCAAGGGCACACAATGATTCAGATTCGAAAAAAATGGTTCAAAAATTCAAAAATAACATGCTAATTAATCTTCATCTTTTAAATGCCAGATTAAAGATCTTAACTTAAGGCATATTCAGTTAAAATATCTCGTTTCAATTGAACGTCTAACTCCAGAAATCTTTAATTTATTTTCAACAAAAATTTGTTTACAATTTGTATATGAAAAAAAAACTTTGATTTTCTCTACTTTAATTTGTTATTTCCATATCTTGCTAGCTGTTGTTTGCTAAGTTAAGTTTAGATTTGCATATTAAAACTTCCAAATCAAAAGAAAACTGCTTATTAAGTCTTAAAAATGCAATTTAAATCTGAGTATTTTTACAAAACTTAAACTATTCATAAGTTAAAAAGTCTTCCAAAGACCTTTCTGAAACCTATATAAATCAATTATTTAAGCTTAAATCTATCTTCCATACTAATATGGTCATGCCGTTTAATGCCGTTTTCGAGATATTTGCGTTCAAAGTTTACATAAATTTTCATACAAAATTTGGACATGCACAATATTTTTTGATAAACTTTTACATACTTTTGCTAAAAAAAATCATGTTTATCCTTTATATTATGGACTGAGTTTTTGAGCAATTAATGAAAATAGAAGTAGAAGATGTTAAATGAATTAAATCGAAAGAAATAAAACAACTTTCAATTTTCTAATGTGTCAAAAAAATATTGTGCACAAGGAAATTTTAAATACTTTTTTCAAATCTGAATCATTGTGGGGCGGTGTAAAAAACTTGTAGTTCTGTTCCAGTAGTGACACTCCTTCTAGCATTTTTCAATGCATAAGTTTATTGAGAGAATGCCTGCTATCTTTTGTTTCCCTATACATGTTAAACCAATCCGTCCAATTTGTACACACTAGGTTATCCATAATATCCATTGATTGTCGCCTGATTAAGATCCTCCCTCCTCTAATCTTAGCTTATAAACATCATTAATGAATATCCCCACAGATGGATGAAGAGGAAAAAATTTGACATGAATATGATTCAGTCAAAAAAATGGCGAGTGCGAAGTGCTAATGTTTATTTAATAATACATATGATGTTTCCATCATTTAAGGCCTTATTTTTTTTTTTTTGTTTCAAGTTTCTGATGGTAGATATAATGTTCATGTGGCGGAAAATGTAGTTTTTCGTTCTTTATGAATTTCAAGCTTTGTCAATTTTTTGAAATCTTCTTTTACTAAAACTTTTCTTCTTGACTCTTGACTCTTAATTCTTTTTCGTGTATTGTCTGCTGCTCTTTTCGGTCTGCTTATCACTTTTGTAAGAGACTAAAGAAATTAAATAAGCAGCCTTTTGTGAGATTATTTATGATAAAATGTGGTATCAATTAATGAGGGATATAAGGTGTTTGTAGTCTAAAACTGTGAGTATGATTCGCGACTTATAAGATAAATTAATTATTCCTCATTTAATATTTATCTAAAAGCAACAAGATTTCCTTGTATTAAACTTTTAAATTCTTGAATTATCATTTCAGTTTCTTTAATTCTATAAATTCAATTGTCAAGGTACATTTAAGACTTGAATAAATTTATGTGCCATTTCGAAAAAAAAAGTTCTAAGACGGATATAAAATTTCAAGAATATTCAATTTCTTGTGTCATATTTACTTACTCTTATAAAGTGAGTGGACACACAATTAGAAATTTTTATATTTTCCGAATTTCTCCCTTATTATTTTATGAAACCTATTAAAATTATATATTTTTGGAAAGCTTATCAAATTTCCAAATGATGATTAGAAAATTGTTGGAAAATTTGCAAGTAATATAGTCACTTTGGGTAAAAAACGCATTTCATATATGCAAGTTTTTAAGGTTTTTCATTTTTCTCAACAACGGCTTTATGAAAAGCTTTCAAATTTTGCACACTCATTGCTTATATAAATGTTAATAACTTGTATAAGTTTCAGAATTTTCCATTGAGTTTTTCACGAGTCTTCCTAGCCTGAATTTTTCACTATTAAAATTCATTTTTCTCGATAACTGCTTATTGTTATTAGATGTTGTTCATCTTATTTTCTTTCATTTTTCAATAGCTTTATATTGATATATAACAATTTAGGAAAAAGTATGAAACAAAAGAGAAATCAATAAAAAAGTGTGAAAATTGTAGGAAAATTTCCAAAATTCTCCCCCATCTTGCATTTGTTTTGCTTTTTCTGGTTAAACTAATTAAATTTCATAAAAGTGTTACACATTTTTGGAAAAGTCTAGCTTAGTACTTTCATTCACTAGAAACCGCATGAGTCTACGATAAGCACAAGTAAAATTATAGAAGCTTGAAGTTGGTAAGAAAAGACAGCTCAATGTAAAGAAAATATTTTTTTTGTTTATTTGATATTTAAGCTTTGAAATAATGTTTATTGGGAAGAATATGTTATAAAACAACAAAATTTACCATTTTTATGCATCTAATAATAACAACAAGCAGTAAATTAATATTTTTGAAAATTTGAAATTTTTGTTTATGTTATTAACTTCAAGCTTCTATAATTTTACTTGTGCTAATCGTAGACTCATGCGGTTTCTAGTGAATGAAAGTACTAAGCTAGACTTTTCCAAAAATGTGTAACACTTTTATAAAATTTAATTAGTTTAACCAGAAAAAGCAAAACAAATTCAAGATGGGGGAGAATTTTGGAAATTTTCCTACAATTTTCACACTTTTTTATTGATTTCTGTTTTGTTTCATACTTTTTCCTAAATTGTTATATATCAATATAAAGCTATTGAAAAATGAAAGAAAATAAGATGAACAACATCTAATAACAATAAGCAGTTATCGAGAAAAATGAATTTTAATAGTGAAAAATTCAGGCTAGGAAGACTCGTGAAAAACTCAATGGAAAATTCTGAAACTTATACAAGTTATTAACATTTATATCAGCAATGAGTGTGCAAAATTTGAAAGCTTTTCATTAAGCCGTTGCTGAGAAAAATGAAAAACCTTAAAAACTTGCATATATGAAATGCGTTTTTTACCCAAAGTGACTATATTACTTGCAAATTTTCCAAAAATTTTCTAATCATCATTTGGAAATTTGATAAGCTATCCAAAAATATATAACTTTAATAGTTTTAATGAAAAAATAAGGGAGAAATTTGGAAAAAAATAAAAATTTCTAATTGTGTGTCCACTCACTTTATAGAGTTTTGGTTGGTTTTCTATTGGTAAACCAAAACCATTCTCAAATTTTCAAACCAGATTCAATTTAAGATTTCGAGAAAAACCAAAAAATGTTGATCGAATAAGGACTTTAGCATTGACCAGGGCATTGACAATCCATAGACATTTTTGCATTACTTTCTTCCTAACGTAATTAAGTTGTTAATGGCAAAAATGGTTTTAAATTTTTGAAAAAGATTTTAAGAATAAATGATTCTTGCAAGTGATAAATTTTGAAATTTTATAACAAGTTGCCAAATTCACTCTCTTCTTGCTACGATACTGAGATAAACCACTGTGCAACCTTAAAAATTGCTTAAAATCTATTTATGCAAGTTTGTTTTTAAAAAAACCTTTCAACCACATAGCCCAGCTCAGCTTACGATTTCTCGAAAAGAATCATCGATACATCGAACTTCTCCCACTTTATGCGATTATGACTATTAAAATCTTCCATCCTTAAATTTTGGAGAATACTTTTTTCTGAACACTTCATTTTTACACGATAAAATATAAAATCATGAAAAATTGACTCAAAAAAAAAGCTAAAGACCTTCAACAAAACTTTAATTTTAACCAATTTTCGCCCAAAAAATAATTGAAACAAGCCGACGTAACAGTGTGTCCAAAAATAATGATATAATTTTCAGTTCAATATTTTGACGAATAATCCTTAACAGATGTTTGAAATGTGAAAAAATAAATATTTTAAATAATTTTAAATATAAGTGAATTTTTCCACGTTCCTTTTATTCCCTTAATGGCTGAGTGATTTAAATATTTTAGCATTTATTTGACAAGACAACGACAAACGGTATGGAAAAATAGTTCATTATTGTTTGTTTTTTGTGCCTCTAAAACCGGAAATTGAATTTTCCCTTAACTAAGAATATAGAATGCAAATACAGCAAAAGAAGTAAGGCGTGTCAGACTAAGTGGCAACATTGCGCCTTCAATCTTCATATATGTAATTTATCGTTGCAATTTTTGTTGTTTTGTTCCTCATATTGATCGCGCGTTTATCACTCACTATGAATATTAGGCACGAAGAAACGACCGAAAACAGAAAAAAAAGTGAAATGAAAATGAAGAAGATGAAAATGGGAACAAAATCGATCTAAATGAAAAAATATGTGACATAACATACACATAAAGAATTTGCTAATGTCATGCATGAAACATTTAAAGCTTGTTAAATAAATTTATCACAGATATTCTAACATATTTTCCCAGCGATTTGTATTTTGACATCTTTTTTTTTTCGTGTACAGTAAATCCACAAAAACATGTTTCAATGCTGATAAAGGAATATGTTTATATTTATTTATAGGTGTCTATGATGGAAGATGGCACTACAGCTCGTATTAAACAAGAAATTGACTCTTGTTGCAGTCCATCACCAACCTCATCAAATAATAATGTTTCAATTTTAAGTTTTGGTTCAAACGGGCAGGAACCGGTAAGTTGAAGATTGCTATACACATCAGGTACTCTCGATATGATTACTTACTCAAAATTGATAATTACTTTAACTTATCTTGAATCTTTCTATCATCAAACTTTGAGTAATTAATCATAGAGAAATCAATGTTTGGCGTAACTTAAGCTAGCATTAATGAACAATTTCATCAAGAACTTAAAATTTCGATTTAGATTGTTTGTAAACAATGTTTGAAGTTCCAAATCAAAAGCTTGGTTCTTCCCTTTAAAAAACCCCAATCGAGAGCACTTAAATTCCCATTTTTTTACAATCTTTTACGTCAACAGTACGTAATTACTATAAACAAAAACATTCTCTTCTTTTCTTTAAAACCTGTTCATCATGTTTTTACAGATGGACTTTAAATGTGGCCCGGAGTCGATGCTTCATTCGGATCAAACGTCTCCCGGCTCGCCAGATAGACAATTTTGTAGCTCAACTACGTCAGCAATAGGGGATTTTGGCAACGATTCTAATGTGCAGGATACAGTAAAAGAAGAGTTACCAAGACGTTTATGTTTAGTGTGTGGTGATGTCGCTTCGGGTTTTCATTACGGTGTAGCCAGTTGTGAAGCGTGCAAAGCTTTCTTTAAGAGAACAATACAAGGTAAGCTCTATTTAAAGACTTTCAGGAAGCTTAGTGTCAGGCCTGCTTTTCGTTATCTCATGTCGAATTCCAAGAAGATTTAGTAATATCATCATACAGTCACCTGATGCCTTATCAAATCTCTCACGATACTAAGCCTCTTACTATTTATATTTATTGACTTCCCATCTACATTTAATTGAATTTCTCTTCCGATATTAGGCAATATTGAGTATACATGTCCAGCAAATAATGATTGTGAAATAAATAAGCGCAGGAGGAAAGCATGTCAAGCGTGTAGATTTAGGAAATGTCTAATGATGGGTATGCTTAAAGAGGGCGTAAGACTAGATAGAGTTCGAGGAGGAAGGCAGAAATATAGACGAAATCCAAACATGCAACCATATCAGCTTCAAATACCTCATTCATCAGCACAGCCGCCTCAATCACTTGACGACATCAAAATGCTCGATGTGCTGATGACTTTTGAGCCCGAGAAGTTATGTGTTGGACATTGTGGAATAGATTTAATGAATAAGAATGATGATGATCAAAAGAATGAATGTGTTGGAACGGATGCACAAGAAATGCTTAATATATTGAGTGATTTATATGATAAGGAACTCGTTGGTGTTATTGGATGGGCTAAGCAAATACCAGGTAAGGCAATTGCTGCTTACTTAATTTATCTATTGTTAATGCTGTAAATTTATGCTTTACATTAGGTTTTACCGACCTCCCACTTAACGATCAAATGCGATTGTTGCAAGTGAGCTGGGCTGAAATCTTAACATTAATGCTTGCATTTAGATCGATTCCATTTACTGGACGATTATATTTTGCATCGGATTTCTGGCTGGATGAGCGTTCGGCAAAAGAATGTGGAGCTACTGAACTTTATAATCATGTAATTATTATTATTTTTATTGTTAATGAGTCGTATGCTGGGGATGTATCTAGGATTTCTGGATCATTCCCGCTGTATAGTCGACTCGAGAATTGAGATTAAAATCATATTAATTATCTTAATTGCTTGTCAATTGTTCACAGTGCATTCAAATAACGCAACGATTAGAAAAAATCTCAGCAAGTAAGGAGGAGTACTATCTGTTGAAAGCTTTAACTTTATCAAATTGTGATATTCGCTTAGACAATTATGATTCATTGAAAAAATTGAGGGAATCAATTTTAAGTGCATTAAATGATTGCGTTTTAATATTACGGTGAGTTGAATTACATCTAATTATATGATTGAAGCGTAATTAGCAAATGATTAAAAATTGACTATCATATTCATCTACAGACATTATAATGCAGTTGCTCATCAACAAAAACTGTTATTGCTTTTACCATCATTACGTCAGGCCGATCACATTATTAGACGTTTCTGGATGAAAGTGCACAAAGAAGGCAACATAACAATGAACAAATTATTTGTTGAAATGCTTGAATCATTTTCACGATAAGGAAAAATTAAATAACTTTATTTTTTATTTGATTAAAGAAATATTTTATTAATTTAATGATAAGATAATTTTATTATTTTTTATTTTCGGTATCAAACCAAGTTTTTTGTTTGTTGATAAAAAAAGTTAGAGCAAGAGAGAGAAAAACAAGAAGAAAATTGCAATCAATTGTTTTTATATTAAATTCGATTAAGTCTAAATCAAATTAAGTGCAAAATTATACGGTGTACGGTAAATGCCCAGTGAACTAGAAATTATTTGTAAAGCGATCAAAATGCCTAAATTATGTCCTGTTAGAAAAAATGTTTGGAATTGTATTGTTTTGAAATTAGTCTAGAACCTTATATTGAATTTTAAAAAATTGTACGGAATATGAAATGTTCTTATGGAAACCATGTAAATTATTTAAAAACATTTGTGTGCTTTTGAATCATTAACAACTTTTTTGAAACCATACAAATGTGAAATATTTTTAAAAACATTTGAGTTGTTTTCGAATTTTTTAAAACCATTCAAATGTTGGTTCAAAATAAAAATTTGTGTGGTTTCCAAAAGAGCTGTCAAAATGTTTGAAAACCTTACAAATGTTAATTTGAAAATAACTTTTATGTGGTTTTTAAACATTTGAAATTGTCGGAATCATGCAAGTTTTACTTTTATCTAAACATTTGTATGAATCTTTTGTGTCTTGAAGCCGTACGAATGCACACTATCCTCAAAACAATACAAAAATTGAGAGGTTTCAGAGCATATGTAGCAAAAAAAAAAAAGAAAACTGAAGGAAAAGTCGGACATTTCCTAATTTTAAATTCATATTTCTTTTTGACTTTAAAAATTGTTTTAGAATCTCAACGCAGACAAAATAAAATTTATTGCAATGTTAAGTAAAATATTAGTAAATAATAAAAAAAAAAATCACTTACATTAAAGAATATAATAACGATAAAAGCAATTAACTATCACTAAATTTTTGAGGAATAAAGTAAAAAAGAAAAATCAATAATTTAGTAACTGTGATAGAGAAATTTTTTTGAAAGCAAAACAAAAAAGAAAATCGAGAATCGCAAAGTATCTTTGCAGCATGAAAGAATTTTTTTAAATTTTAATTAATTTTTTTTGTTTAATCTTTATAGTAACATCAGCATAACAACACAAACATATTCGTTAACCCCCCTTTAAATAATATTTTTTTTTCTTTAAGACTATTTCGATAATTTTTTGTTCTCTAATTTAAGCTGTGAAAGAAAAAAATAATAAATGAATAACAAACTAAAGAAGGTTTTTTAAGAAAAACAAAATTAGATTACCTCAAAAATCATCAGGGACTACAATGCGATATTGAATATAAAAGAGAGATGAAAAGACGATGTTAGTATTTGACATCAAAATCATAAATAGAAAAACACAACAAAACATGTAGAAAAAAAAATTGTATGCAAAGCAAGAACTGGACATTTTTGAGATAAGGAACTAAAAGGATAATAACATAAAAATATTCATGCACTGCATTAAATTCGGAATAATATTAATGACTACCACATAATTTAAAGAAAAGAACAAACAAATTTAATTCAAATAGCAAAATAATGTTTACAGGATATCAAAGAAAGAAATGACTTTAAATCGTTGTTGCTTAACACGGAGGGGATATGGACTTAATTAAAGTCTTCATGAAGAGAAGGGTCCGAATTTCGAAAATAAATTGGATTTCTATTTTACAACTTAATATTTCAATTCTTCTTTGAATCAATAATAAGAACAAAACTAAGCGTTTTAAGACCTTAAAAAACAAAATTAGTAATACGACCCAGAATTGAAATAACTTAATCAAAGTTGCTGAACAAAACGAACCTCCGTGTTGAATACTCAAACTTTAAAAATCCTTCATTACATTAACTTTGAGCAAAAACAAGCGCAAAAGATTAAAGATTTTTATTTTGTCATTTTAAGCATAACTGCAAACGGAAAAGTAAGATAATAGAGAAAAGGAATTTATTAATGTGTGATTTGGATTTTTTTTAAAAAAAAAATAACATAAACCTAAATAATATGTCATCAAATTATCATTATTAAACGATTATGTATTTGAGTTAATTACAAATATCATTCATAATTAATATAACTACGGATCAAAAACAGAAGAAGAAATAAAATATATTAAAGATACTGGGACAAAAACAAACTATTAAGATGTAAAATGAGGACAAAATTTAATATATAATTTCAACAAAGGAATATATTGTTGAATATATATTCTAATATACTATATAGAACATAGGGAATGAACACTAATAACTCAGCAAAAATCAATAAGTGGAACTATCAGTTTTTTTATTGAATATTTTAGGATGTTACTAATTATTTTCTCTTTCGTGTAAATTAGATTCTGAATATGAAGTAGAAACAAAATAAATAAATAAATAAAAAAAAAAGTATTAAAAAATCAATTTTTTGTATTTTTCTTAAATATAGACCCCCCCCCCCCCCCCATTACTCCCTCTTTTCTCTATCACATTGATCTCTCTAGATATTCTCTAGATCTTCAAATGTTTGCCATCACTTCCTTCTCCATATAAAACTTCTCATAGCCTTCCAACATTTTCAGCCTTACCGATGGTCCATAAATTGTCAGGAACGTGAGGATGAAGTTTTTACTTTCAGGAAACTTCGACAGCACTTCGTGAACTAAAATTAGCAATGATAATTAATATTATACTTAATTAAAATGCACATCTGCTTACTGTGACACGGATGAATCATGTAAAATGGCTTGAATAATATTGGATGATCAGCTTGTGATATAATTTGATAAATCTCGTCTTTGTACTGCTTCAATTCATAATCTTCAACAAAAATCTTTGAGACATCATCAAAATTCACGAATCTGCCGTCATCTAAAAGTGTACATTAATCAGTAACAAGCTAAATTGATAGATCCAGCTTACCGCTGTGTGCATTGAAATACAGCACTGGAACTTGATAGCTTGGATGAAATACAACATGATACTCGATTGAATAAATTGTTTCAGGAATGCTGTTAACTGCTGATGCATCGTCTATGACTATTTCTCCAAATTCAACTTCTTGTTCCTTCTTATTTTGTATCGAAATTTTTTGTTTTTTGACCAAATAAATTTTTCCCATTTTCTCGTTTAATTCCCAAGTGTCATTCAATTTCTCTGATATTTCCCTAAACTCTTTTGCCTTCTCATTAAAGTCATTTTCATTAAAATTAAGGGAGATCATTCTAAATCGGTGAAAATTGCTAATTTTCTTTTGATCTTGAAATACTTTTGTGAAATTTGCATGCAATAGAATGAAAACAGTGAGTTAAAGCCCTTGTAAAATTTTAAAAAATCATCTCCACATCAAATTTGACTTGAAAGTATCTAAAGCTAATTTTTTTTTATAGGTAATCTAATTTTAAATACAAACAGTCATTTAAAATTCAAATCAACCACGTGCAAGTTTAACGGTTGTGAAAAATTTGAAATCTCGTATGTGTTTGTTGAAGAAAGTTTCGGTAATATACTTGAATTTTTATAAAATTATTTATTTAACATCTTTATGGGCATTTGAATCAATTGGGAACTAGCTAGTTCTATTTATTGATAGTGATTCCATCGTTTGACATTGAAGATCAATATAGTTTAATATAATTTTAAAGAGAAATTGTGAATTTACATAAAGTCTAATTTTTTATCACCAAATCTTCTTACTAAATTAGATTATCCACAAATAAATAAGTATGGCAAGACCACAACCACAATACGAGCCTGAAGTCAGGAGATCAGGAATCAATGCAATCCTTTTAGGACCTGCAGGCTCTGGAAAAGGAACTCAGGTAATTATTAATTAATTCAGTGTGAGCTGGCAGTCGTTGCGCAACATACAGAATTAAATCAGAGAGGTTATTGCTCTTATCGTATTATGTGGATCAACAGATTGACCCTTGATACTTCGCTGCTGTTTACATGATACTCTTATTGACCTTGAACTGTTTCCTTTTTTTCTAGGCTCCTATTCTTAAAGAAAAGTACTGTGTGTGTCATCTGAGTACCGGTACGTAGATGCTCTGTTCTGTATATTATGGAGGGAAACTTTTAAGCCAGTTTTTACTCATATTTTTATTAATCTTAGGTGACATGTTGAGGGCTGAAATCACTGGAGGATCAAAACTTGGTGCTCAGCTCAAGAAAGTCATGGATGAAGGAAAGCTCGTATCTGATGATTTGGTCGTTGACATGATTGATTCCAATCTTGACAAGCCAGAATGTAAAAACGGATTCTTGCTTGATGGATTTCCGAGAACTGTCATACAGGCACAAAAATTAGATGAACTGCTTGAAAAAAGGAAAACGGGTCTTGATGCTGTTGTTGAGTTCGCAATCGACGATAGTTTGCTTGTGAAGAGAATTACTGGACGATTAATCCACTCAGCTAGTGGGCGAAGTAAGTCATAAATGAAATACAAGAAAAAGAAAATAGAACTAAATGACTATATCCTTAGGCTATCACGATGAGTTCCGTCCTCCAAAAGTATCAATGACAGATGATGTAACTGGAGAACCGTTGATTCGTCGCAGTGACGATAATGCTGAAGCACTCAAGAAACGTCTTGAAGCATATCATACTCAAACAAGTCCACTCGTTAATTATTATGCATTAAGGGGGTTACACTATAAGGTCGATGCATCCCAAAGTGCATCTCGTGTATTTGAGAATATCGATAGCATTTTCCTCGGTCAACGTCAGAAACGAGCAGCATTATAAACTAGTGAAATTCATAATAATGCTTTTTAGTGAACACACACGTGACATGAATTTATTTTTATTAATTATTCTAATGTGTTCATCAAAAAAACCTCTAATTTGATTTATCTGTATACATAAATAGTATATGGCACTCGGTTCATGTGTTTTTTTACTTTCAACAAAATTTTGGTGGATTTTATTTTGACAAAAAACGTTCTGATTATTTTAGACTCCGGTTATTACATAATACATATGCCTATAAAGTATATGGAAATTCCATATATTTAAAAAATGCTGTGGCATGGCAAGCTGTTGGGAAAACGAGTTCTCAATTCAATCTTTGAGTCCTTAAATGTAGGATTGATCTTTGAAAAAGTTTTAAATTATTGAATCAAATCAAGATCGCATTAAATCTTAGAACTTAGTCTTCAAACCCGAATTATCTTTTTACCGATTTTTAAATCTTTAGATTAGGAAGTTGGATTACTTTAATCTGGGGATTTATTTAAATCCAATGTCTAATCTTAAGACTTATTTTAAATCTAAGGATTAGACTACCAACTTAATGTTGGATCTAATTTGTAAAATTATTCAGATCTGCCTGATCTGCCTTTAAAAATCCAGAAGAAATTATTATTCAAAACAAGACCATTCAAATTTCCGACAGCTGACATGCCTTGGTATCCAATATCTGTAACATTTTAAAAGAAATAATGAAAAACAATATTTATTGATGAAATATTATAGACTAAAATATTTTATTCAATAATGAAAATAAATATTATGAATTATACTATTATGAAAATAAAAATTCATATACAGTTCTATTCCTTAAATTAATAAATTATTCATTCTCAATTAGGGGTCATTCATAAATGACGTTGAATTTTTTATAGAGAAGGGAGGATGTCTATAGACTATAGCTGCATGATAAATCCATATTTGCTCCAAAAAAGGGAGATTCACGTCAGTTATAAGCAGCCCCCTTAAATTTAAAAAACATTCACGGTCAGGTTTTTTTTTCTCATTCTACGAACTCAATTACAAAACTTCCTATAGAATTGAGGAAAACGTAAAGGCATACAAAAATAAGTGCATAGTGCAATTGAAAAAAAAAGTAATACAATGTTCACTCATAAAGTATATCACGATCAACAGAATCAATCTACCTGAAATAAGTTCGGGTTTGTTCACTTATGACATCAATGAACACCCCCCCCCCCCCCCCTCCACTTTCAGTTTGTCTCAAAATCATATTTTAAATTTAAATTTATTTTATCTCAAATTCCTCAGATACTTTCTACTCTTCTTAAGTTAAAGACGTCATTAATGAAAAACCACATTCTTAAAATTACACACTTCACTGGTTAAAAGAGAAAAAAAATTCAGAGCAGATGAAAATTAACTTTCCTTCTCATTTTTCCATCTCTTAAAGTACAGATGATATGGGATTTGTTTATAAATTTAAGTCCCTTACTAAGTTCCATTTGTTCATCATCTACAGGTAGCAAAAAAAAATCTCTGGCACAAATTTTACAATTATATCCACAACATCTCGAGTATTGTAATTTCAAAAAAAAATATTTATAAAATAAATTGTCCTATGAATCACTATTTCCTGTGCATGTAACATTCTTGATGCTCTGCCGCAAACCGGTTTTGGTATATGTTCTATCCTTTGTTTATGTTATGTATTAGATATGTTTTGTTTGTTTGCCTGCCTTACATCTTCACAGGTCTTCAAAATGGGCTCGCCATTAAGTGTGATTCATACTAGCTTAATTATCTGTTTAATACATTTTTTGATTGGATCACTTTAGAGTTTGCCTTCGCATCGGAACACAGAGTCTTTCCACATTCAACAGGTTTCTAAGCTCAGCTATTTCTTGATCTTTCTTCGATATTTCCTGCTTTAGCTTCTCAAACTTTAATTCAACATGACCAAGCTCTTTGGTCACACACTTTATGTACTTTGTTAATTTTTCAGTTCTCTTCTGCATGACAATTTTCTCGGGATCGTCTTCGCTTGCCTCAAATCCATCACATTTGGGATTAACGTTAAAATAAATTTTATGAAAATCACTTTTACTCCGAATTTCTTGTCTACACTCCGGACAATTTGAACTTTTCTCAATCCATTTGAGGATGCAGTTCCTATGATAAACATGACCACAATATGAACTGTAAATTGTTGATGAACTATTATTGCTTCCTGATCGTGTGAACGGAAATTCAGTTTCCTGTTGTGTATCAATGAAGCTGCAACAGCATATTGAACATATTATTTCCATGATTTTCACTAACTTTATGCTTAAAAAATATTTTTTGTTCCTTTATTTCACTTAATTTTAATTTATTGGCAGTAGAAATTATTTTTTTTGGATTTGTTTTGGAGCAACTTGCTGCTGTTGCTGTTGTCGGTTTGAAAAATGTCAACCGTTAAAACACGAAGGGATGCATGCTCAGGTACTCACCGTATAGTCGATGAATTATGATTTTTTTCGGTGAAATGGCAATTCGATGAAAGATCCAGGAATGTCTAAAGTTCGAAAGTAAAAAGTAAATAAACAGTCATGGAGAAATCATCTTATGTCTCTCGTGTTAATCAACTTGATGCATACTTACTAGATAAAGAAATATTGAAAATAATCCATGATCAGTTGAATACTGCTTATAAGGAATTGTCACCTGGATTGTTAAGTAGGTTCCAGCCAGAAATTGATGCATTGCTCAAATCCTTAATCTGGCTAAACTCAATTTATTTCAATAAGTCAACATTTGGTCAGCAAATATTAGCAATAACTTACAAAAATGATAATTTAACGAGAAACAGACTGATTGTGCATTACATCCTCACTATCCTTGCTCCGTACACAAAAGAAGTTAGTCATTTAAGATTCACAAATAAGTTGCAGCTTCAAAAAGTCATCGAATGGATCGAATTTACTGTGAAACTTTTGTCAATCCTGAATTTCTTCAGGTTCCTTAAAAATGGTCAATATCCAACAGTTCTTGATTATTTTCTTCGATGGAATCATGTGTCTGAAAGTGGAGCTAGAATGAGAAATATCGGATATGCTTACATGAATCGTGAACTGATATGGACAGGGTTTTTGGTAAGCTCATTAGCTTTTATGTGACTGAGTCTTATATATTTTAAAATTTTTATAGGAACTGCTGAACGTCACTCTCCCTTTCATCAATTATAACTCACTGAGAAGAAAAGTTGGTCAAATGATAACATCAAAGTCCAAAAGTGATCAGGAAGCATCAAAAATTGAACCAGTAATAACAGTCAGCACATTATGTGCTATATGTTCACAGCGACCAATCATTCCACATCATATCCAATGCGTTCATGTATTTTGTTATTACTGTATAAAAGGAAGTGTTATGGCTGATCCGGAATTTTCATGTCCAGTCTGTGATTTTAGTTATAAAGGTGAAATTAAGCATGTAATTGTTAATGTCGAATAGGAACTAAATCTATTCATGGTGGTAGAAATAAATATTTTTTTTAAAAATTTTAATTTCACTTCCTTAAATAGCAAAATCGTCAACAGATTGAAAGCATGACAAAATAATGCCAATTGAATTATTCTGTTTTGAATTTTTACAATTTGATTCCATATTTTTGATAGAATTGCATGCATTAATAACTTGATTGTGATACTCTGGTGGTAGTCGATTAATGACTCGATTCCAATTTTGTTTTGTTACATCCATCAATGGAAATAGAGAATTTTTCATTTGAATGACATCCTCGATTGTTGCAAGGCTTAAAAAGTGACAAATTGCTGTACAAAGTTGATCTTGTAGTGCATCTCTATGCTTATATTCATTAAAATCTGTGAGATTATTTGATTGTTCCAGTGCAACTAATAAGCAGTTCCAAATAGTCGAAAAATATTTTTCATAATCCTTTCTATTTTGTGGTGTCGTTAATGCTAAGCAAGCATTCGTTCGTACCTTAAAGTTTGGCGAATTCTCAATTATACTGCATAGAGCATTAAATACTGATTCTTGCCATAAAACCTTAATTCCAGCTTCAAATACTAAAGGATTCTTCATCATTGATGAAAATGAGTAGCAGACATTCCACTTGACTTTCACATTATTGCAGGTTGCTAGCTGATTGTTTAGCACTTGAATGGATTTTTCGAATAAATCCAACCAATTGGCACTTCCAAAATGACTTTCTTTCAGTAAAATTATTAAATTTCCTAAAGTTCTTACAGCATTCACTTTTACACGATCATTATCAGTTGCTGACTGCAAGCATGTCTCTATAATCTGCTTAAACAGTTTATCGTCTATAGACTGCGTTTTTTTGATGATTAATAATCCATCAACAACATTAGCTAATCCAAACGAAGCTTTAGTCCTGGCTACAATATTTTGATCCTTGATGATTCTCAGAACTGATTCTGTAGTATTCTCAACAAAACATAAATCTTCTCTTAGTGAAGGAAATAATACGTAAACTGCCAAGGCACGAACAGCTGATGATTTCACAATTGGATCTTCATCATAACAACAGCCAGTAAGGATTGATTTAAGTTGAATTTGTTTCATATTGTCTAGCTTTTCAAAGATAAATACTCCAATATTGGCTAGACTATCGGCTAAATAAGCTCTTAATGTTGACGATTGAGTCACATTTTGAATATTGTCAAACACTGCTGATATTATTCTAATCCAGAATGTCAGGCATAGATCAGCATCTTGTTGGGTCTTGTTTTCTGTAAATAATAATAAATTTTAAACGGTTTTATAAGATTTAAAAATTAGCAGCTTTTTCAGATTCAAATAAACTTAACGAAAATGAACTTTACTGAACGAAATTTAAACTTAATTTGAATGATATAATGTGTGAAGGGCCCAGCCTTTCAGCTGGAGGCACTGCGATTCAAATTAGAACAGAATCTATTGTACCACACCCTTTAGACCTACAGTTTATAGTGGGATCCGAACCACTTGCAAGCTCTGTACATTGCAAAGACACGAGTACGTCATAAGACCTGATGTACCCTGCAATGTACCTAGTCACAATCCGTGTGCGCAAGATGCCGTAAGGAAGTCATCCAGATGCTAGTATATCCTTGTATACCTAGCAAAGGAGGCATATTCTATGCCAAAGACATCAATACTACACCCAACACACGAACCGAGCTTCGTAACTGGAACGGTGAAATGGAAAAAGAGCTTCGAAAATTAGACATGGCCTGGGATTGAACCCAGGACCTTTGGCACGTAAGGCCAACGCTCTACCATTTAGGTCACTGATGCCATTTCACCGCTTCCTAATTTGAATGATAGAACTTCGTTAAAAATAAAATAATTTACCTTGAGACAAAAAGTTGTTGATTGAACTGCCAAGAGATTCGAGTGTTCGACTAGCATACAATTTTTCATCAACTGGCGATTCTGGTGACAAGCTTTTAGTTAATGCAGTCGAAATCACCAATAAATGATCTTTGACTAGCAGAAAATGTGATGACATGGATGAAAGAACTTGAAGACTCTCAATTCGTACAGATATGGCTATTGATGGTGTTTTGAGAATTCCATTGTATATTCCTAAATTTTCCAAGACATTCTGTAAAAGCCAAGACATTTTTGATGAAGTAACGCTTAATTTAGCGACTGTTTCTTCGATTTCTTCTTCATCCTCGATTTCCTCGTCGAATTCTAAATCTATTAAATCATTTTCATCGATTGACTGTGCATTTCTAATGCCCTCGTCAATCTTTTTCAGATCAAACTCAATTTTTGACTTAGGAATCTCAACCATTTCATAAATTTCTGATGTCATGTCATGCAATGATATTAAATTATTCATAACAATCAATGCTGCAACTTTAATCGTGGGATCTTTATGGCGAGCAAGGAGACGAACATATTTAATGAATTCTGTGACGATTCCAGTTTTTAATCGATGAAATGGAGTTACAGTAATGAAAATTGAAATGCACTTGAGTATTTGAGTCAAAACTGTCAAATCTCCTTCCTTTATCATGGCTTGTGTTAATTTTTCGTATGTAAATGTGATCATGTTTCCCAAAGTGACTGAAAATGGCGTGAATGTAGATGGTGCTTTATCCTTATTCTCTGCTTGTACCAAAAAAGGTTTTGAATATTTAACCAACTGAATAATCGTTTGTAGAGCAACTATTTTACATCTTGGTGACGTATCCTTAATTATACAGTTAACTAATGAGTTGCACATTGATTCATCTGTAGACAAAAGGCTATGCCAATATCCGAATAATATTTTCTTCTCGACTGTCGTTGTAAGCACAAGAATTAAGGACAGTGCTGTTAATCTCAATTTACTCTGCTTATTTCTATTCACAAGTTCCCTGCTATGCTCATTGTCTGAGAAATCGGAATCGCTAGTTCGATACATTGGGAATGGATTATCATGCTGATAGTTTTGAGATCCATAAGATCTTTTATTTTCTGACTGCTTTGAATTTTCAGGTCTTTTCTTACCTGATTTCGATGGCTTCTTATTTCTATTATTATTTGGACCAGTTCCTCTTTTATTATTATTCACAGATATCGGTTCCATTACAGCTTGTTGTGATGACAATATTTTTACTGGCTGTTGAAAAGAAATATCACTTAATCCATACAGCATGAATGTCCTACAAATTCCAAGCAATTCACCAACATTATAAGTAGCAAAATCTAGATTTGATTGTGTAATGTATTTTAAGGAGTTTAAAGCCATTGCGACTAAAGTCATGAAATCTCCATCCTGTATCTCATTCTGTTTAAATGTGTATAAAAACTTAATTAAGGTCTTTCCTAATGTATCCAAATAAGCATGATCAACATCAAACTCATCGTCACCTTCTAAATGCATTAATATCGATTCTATACATCCCAATGATGATTTGTACACTTCCTGCGGCGTATAGTCTTGGACTAATATCTTTTGTAAGTTTCCTGTCGATTTCAAAAGCCTCAACAAGATCCCGTCATTTGAAATCATCAGATCGATGTTCTGTAATCAAATTATGGAGATTAGTAGATTATAATTGTTGTATTTAAGCTAATCCAGGACTTACAGAATGAGCTGCTCTTGAGTTTTTCTTGAAAAGTAAAGTAAGAACATCCAGTGCCTCACAAATGATTGATTTTGATGAAAAACATAGAATTTGAATGATCCAGTTGATGATTTTGTTAGATACAATCACTGGAAGATTTACTTTCTGTTTATTTATTAGTTGCTTGATCAAATGACATGATTTAATAACAATATTTAATTCTGAAGTAGTTGGAATCTTCGAAATTGAGTCAATAAACTGAACAATTACATTGGAATTTGAAATCTTTTGATATTTGTAATCCAGGCTGTTTAAGTCATTAAGCAATGCATTTAATTCACTAGAATTCTCATAAACAAACAAAAACTTTATCGATAAGTTTCCAAATTCACTTTCTAATTCCATTTTAATTAAAGTTTAAAATCAAAACACTGTAAATTTGGATGTAAATAAACTTCTGATCAGCTAGTGACTAAAGCGCATTAGCACAAATTACAAATTTTTGAAACCGTTTTAAAGAAAGTCACCCAAAACGCACATTAAAGCGCATTTCATAAAAAAGTTTTTTTCAAACCAAAACAATCAGTATAATTCCGATTTTTCGATAATCTACAGCATAAGGTCGAAGATGTTTCGAGGAACTACAGTTGTCGACAAAACAACCAGAACACCTTTTAAGAAAATTGAAAATCTACATAAATTTTTTATATTTCGTGAAATTAAACAAGAAATAATGAGCGATTTGTCTGAAAACGTTGAACAAAACAACATGCAGCAGGCTGAGAACGAAAATACGTGCGTCGTGTGCTTCAAGAAGACATTCATCTTCTCAATCGGGTAATTTGCAATAGAAATAATGAATCGTCATAACTTTTTTTATCAATTTCACATTTTCTAATTTACAAGTTCCTGCAATCATCCAGTATGTTATGAATGCAGTGCTAGAATGCGTTGTCTATGCCTTCAAAATGAATGTCCTATATGTCGTCAAGATTTACCGCGGGTTTGTTAATTGAAACTTTAATAATTAATGAATTAAAACAAAATTAACAGTTAATAATCCAAAATTGTAGGTAATATTCACCAAGACTATCGACTTATTCCTTACTTTGGACAAAACAACTCGTTCTGGATTATTTGAGAAAAAGTTTCGTATAGTATTTGCTGATTTAGAGATACAGAAAGCATTTTATCACTTACTTGAACATCGATGTCCAAGGTGCGAAGATAGTAATCTATTTGTTGATTTTTATAAGCTCAAAGAGCATGTTAGGAAGGTCCATGAGCAGTTCTATTGTGAAATTTGTACAGAAAATCTCAAAGTATTTTCTTCAGAACGTAGATGCTATACACGACAGGAAATAGCACAACATAGACGAGTTGGAGATCCAGATAATAAGAGCCATAAAGGACATCCACGTTGTGATTATTGTGAGCTCCGATATTTGGATAAGGATGAACTTTTCAGGCATTTAAGACGTGAACATTATTTCTGTCATTTATGTGATGCCGATGGAATTAATTTGTTTTATGGAACTGTTCGAGAAATGCGGGATCATTTTAAAGCTGAGCATTTCCTCTGTGAGGAAGAGGATTGTCTTGAAGAGGAATTTACTGCTGTTTATCGAACAGAAATTGATTTACGTGCTCACAAAGCAACTGTTCATTCTAAAAATATGTCGAGGATGGAAGTTAAGCATGCAAGGACATTAGACCTTGATATTTCATATGGACCACGTGGTAGAGGTGGAGGAAATGAGAATAATAATAATAGACATCCTAGGATTCGGACGAATGACACGCAGAGAGAATTTGACATTAATCCTGAACAGCAAATCGTCCAGATGCCTCCAATTCAAATTGACACGAAGAATGAAGATCATTTTCCGTCTCTTGGTGTTCCATCTAATGCATCTAACGCATCTAATGGACCTGTGCAATTAGCTAATTCTGTAAGGCATGTCTATTATGGACAGCAGGGACTTGCTCGTACTAAAGAGAATTTCCCAGCACTAGGCGGTTTAGGCAATGAGAGAAATTCAAGTCAACCTAAGCAAAATAATGGAAATAAGCAAAATTCATCAAGTAAACAATCAGCTCCCTCAGCAAGTAGTTTATTCAAAGCAAATAAACCATCGTCAGCTCCTCAACAAAATTATCAACAAAAACCTCAATCATCAACTTCCAATCCTCACCCTAAAAACATTTACAAAAAAGATTCAATTGCTGACTTCCCATCACTAGGACCAAGTTCCTCAAAAAATTCTTTTTTCACTGAAAGTCCAAAATATTCATCATCGCAGAGTATTGATCGAAAGCCAACGACATCAGTTGCTTCCAAAAGTTCAGTTCCAGCCACTATTAGTAAAAAGAATTTGTTCAACGATTATCCAACGATTAGTTCCGCTGCATCGAAAAAACGAGATTTATTAATGGAAGATCTTATATTGCCATCAAATAATAACATTGATAAAGGAATGATAGCTGCAAAGCATAAAGGATTAATGAATGATTATGTATCAATTGCATCTCAAATGACTAAAGTTAGCTTAGTCAAGCAAAAAGAGGAATCAATTGTCGAGAATCAGCAATTTGTTCCGACATTAAGTTCCGAGAATAATTTTCCTACTCTCGGCTCAAGCGATTCAGCCTCAAAACCTATTCAATGGATAACTGTTAACAGTAAAAGTAATAACAATAATCAAAAGCAACAGCCACAGCAAAATGTAGGTAATAAAAATAGTTTTAATCCGAAGAAACAACAACAAAAAAATGAAGTGCCTCAAAAGAATCAAAAAACAAATGGAACAAAAAAAGTTAATGATGAAAATAAGAAGACGTCTAATGACAAGAAAATTGCAAAAGACAATACCGATAAGGAGAATCGTACTATGCTTGAAAGTAAATTGGGTTCTTCTGTTAAGTCACCACCTCCTGGATTTCAACAGATTCAACCTATTACTGCTAGATATCATCCAGTGCCTGATGCAAGTAAAAGGAATCAAGGTTTAGTTGATGAATTTCAAAAGGTCTTAAAGACCAATGAATCTATGCAGGAATTTCGATTGTTATCGCAAATGTTTAGAGATGGAAGCTATTTCGCTCGTAGCTATTATGAGTCATGCAAAGGTGTTTTAGGCGAGAAATTTGATACAATTTTTCCTGAGTTGTTGGCTCTTTTACCTGACATCGATAGACAACAGGTGGGTATTTTTGTGATTGATGAATTTGTATTTTAACGGTTTCGGAAGTTCAAAATTTAAACTTTGATTTTTTAAGTTCAAAATATCAAAAGTTCAAAAATATCAAGTATTACATTGATTTAAAATGACAGAAACTTGAATGATTTCAGTGATCCACTTTAGGGGCCGTTCACTTATTACGTTCGCACTTTAGGGGGGGGGGGGGATTGAAAAATTGTAACAAAATGTAACATAGGGGGGGGGGGGGGGGTAAAATGTAACATTTACAAATTCACACCAAAAACATTCTTTTTAATTTTCCACCTTTTTAATGATTTATGAATGTCCAAATCACTTTTCATAGCTACAGTAGCGTCCAAAAGTTTAGAAACAGTGTCAATTTTTTTGAATTTTATCAAATAAACATGCTTAAACATAAGCAAATGAGCTCAAATTTTCACCAACTGTGTAGTTTTTGCTATATTTTAATTCAATAAAAACATTTTGTACTATAATTAAGTATTTCAAAAATAACCGTTAAAATTTAAAATGGCTGTCGTCCAAAAGTTTGGAAACGATTTTATGATAATTTTTTTTAAAGCTTTATACTAAATTTAGGTATGATTTATGGCTCAAAACATAAAATTTGGACTTTATTCTTTGTTTTAACACAAAAAAGTATGCTCAAATCGGTTCCTTTCATGCTTTATTTTTGATTTCAAAATGGCTGACATTTTTATATGATATTAACCAAAATTAATACTTTAAGCAAACTTTTTTCTTAAGTTTAAATGCTTATTACATAGTTTTTTACAATATCTTTCAGAAAATATATAGTTTATTATGTTTTGTTAAGTTTAGAAGTCGAAATTTAAAAAAAAATCTTTTTTGGAGAGAAAAATTCGCTGCTTAGAAAAGTTCGAGATAATTTAATTCATTAAATACCAACAAACTATTCGATATTTTGGTACCAATTTATTGCATTTTAATTCTCCTTTAAGTTTTTGTATGATTTCCTTAACATACTTCAAGGATCAAACTTTTATTTAACTATTCTTTAACCTACAACAGACAACCTTGAACGACGCAAAATGTTTTTGCAAAAAATTGTTGAAATTTACTATGAATTTTGTTGCAAAATGACTAAAATGTATTAAAATAACATTCTATTGATGAATTAAACAAAACATGTTCAATTAATTATAGAAATAAGAAATTTTTTGCAAAAACATTTTGCGTCGTTCAAGGTTGTCTGTTGTAGGTTAAAGAATAGTTAAATAAAAGTTTGATCCTTGAAGTATGTTAAGGAAATCATACTAAAACTTAAAGGAGAATTAAAATGCAATAAATTGGTACCAAAATATCGAATAGTTTGTTGGTATTTAATGAATTAAATTATCTCGAACTTTTCTAAGCAGCGAATTTTTCTCTCCAAAAAAGATTTTTTTTTAAATTTCGACTTCTAAACTTAACAAAACATAATAAACTATATATTTTCTGGAAGATATTGTAAAAAACTATGTAATAAGCATTTAAACTTAAGAAAAAAGTTTGCTTAAAGTATTAATTTTGGTTAATATCATATAAAAATGTCAGCCATTTTGAAATCAAAAATAAAGCATGAAAGGAACCGATTTGAGCATACTTTTTTGTGTTAAAACAAAGAATAAAGTCCAAATTTTATGTTTTGAGCCATAAATCATACCTAAATTTAGTATAAAGCTTTAAAAAAAATTATCATAAAATCGTTTCCAAACTTTTGGACGACAGCCATTTTAAATTTTAACGGTTATTTTTGAAATACTTAATTATAGTACAAAATGTTTTTATTGAATTAAAATATAGCAAAAACTACACAGTTGGTGAAAATTTGAGCTCATTTGCTTATGTTTAAGTATGTTTATTTGATAAAATTCAAAAAAATTGACACTGTTTCTAAACTTTTGGACGCTACTGTAAGCAATACATTGTTTTTGTTATATAAAGTAACAAATCAATAGAAAACTGGTTTACAAGACTTTAAAATACAATCATAATTTGTGGAAATTTTCAAAATTAAATCAATCATAAGTTTAAAAGTAAATCTCTCTAAATCCGTCATTCATATGATGATTAATATGATCCCATCATTGTGATATTTACATTCAAAGTTGATTGAATTTTCTAAAATTCGATCGGGCATAATATTTTTCATGACATTTTTGAAAAAAAAAAAAAACAAATTTTTGCTTTATATCACAATCCAATAATTCATGAGAATACTAATAGGATCAATCAAAACATGACCTATTTAGCTGTACAGTATTTTGATGTTTAAGAAAAAAAAAATACAAAAGAACTTTAACCGTCTTTTTAGAATAAAAATTATCAAAATAAAATAAATTATGAACGTTCAGGGGGGGGGGGGGGGGGGGTTGTGAGTTGTAACATATTATAACTAGGGGGAGGGGGGGGGGTAAAAAAAGTCGTTTTTTGCGTAACTTAATAAGTGAACGGCCCCTTAGTAGATAAATTCGACTAAAATTAAAATTAAATCCGGTAAAATATTTTTCGCAGAAAATCAGTCTAACATGTTGCATAACGCCGTTAATTAATATTTTCATATTTTAATATATTCCAAAAATTAGAAACTTTATCGCATACATCTTGAAGAGTCACTCACCGATGTCGATATCACAGACGACACTCCAACAATAACAAAGAAGAAGAATAAAAAGTCTCAAAAAACTTTGGAAGTTTGTGCCACATGTCAACAAGTCTTGCTAAGTAAAGATTTATCGTTGCATGTTCAGTCACATTCATTGGAAAATAGTTTTCCAACACTTTCAAAAAAAATTTCTTCGTCTAAAGCTGCTGGAGGGAAGAAATAAATCATTCGAGGCCCCAAAAAAAAGACTCAAGCATGATATAATAATTTATAACTGTTTCCGTTTAATTCCTTTCCTTTTTTTTTCTTCGTTACACATTAAATAAACAAAAATTTATGCAAGAAAGTGTAAATTGAATGTAAATTTTTAACAAATTGATCATTTCTATAAAAAAAAATCAAAAGCAGCATCATAATGCTCAAGAAAAAAAGTGAATGTTGTTAATTTTATTTTTTAATTTAATTAAACTGTGAATGATGAGCGGTGCAAAAAGCCACAATAAAGTGTGGAAAATTGCTTGCAGATTTGAAACTTAACTATTTAATTATAATTCAATTTTATGGCAAAAAATTCCGTGAAGAAATTAGTTTTGCAGCTTTAATAAGTTAATTTATGGAGTGTGCAGCATAAATGGAATGACAATATTACAAATTATGAAGCGTTCGTTACTCAGCAAATGCTTAAACACAGCAAAGCACATGAAGATAATTCAATGGACACTCCACAATAAACCAAGTTTTCACTCTTGAAAGACGAGTCTCATGCATTTGAAATGCACATATTTATATGACGATGTGTACCAGTTGAAAAGCTATTGATGTACATCCGATAAACTGTCTTTGCACAACTCTAAAATCATATAAATGTTTAATCCTCATAAGATTAACTCCGAATACTAATGAGATCTTTCACTATGTTTGACCATAATAGTGTGTCAGCAAATCTATTATCATTGTGCAGCATTGTGTGAACAAAAATGCTACGAGGCGTGAAATTGTCTAATTTTCTTAAATGCTTTTTTATTGTCCTATCATAAATCTCTCCATCTTAATCATATTCCATTTTCTTTTATTGATCATACAAAGCAGCATTAATAATTTGACAAAGCTTCTCTCTTATTTTAATGAGCATCAATCAGCTTAATGAGCTGCATCTTTCGACTTCCCAACATTGTAATAAAAAGCTTAAATTTGTTTTTGATCATTTTTTTTTTAATTTAACGGCATTATAAAATTCAAATTAGATTTCGCATCATTTTTATTAATTTTTGCATCTCTTCTGATTGTTTAAAAAACACGCGTTTTTCCAAGAATATGGTCATTTGTTTTTTAAATCTCGAAGTGACAAGATCGGTAAGTATTCTTTTATTTGTGTTACAATTAATTAAAATAAGAAAAAGTACTGAGCAGCAACAAAAATCATTGCAATGCACAAAAGTCCATTCTCTAAATTCAACCGCAGTGGGAATAAATCAATGTGTACATTCCAAAAAAACTTTCGCTGAACTTTAAAGAAGGAAATAATTTGAGTTTGAAATTCATACAAAAGACACTTGAGTTCAGCAATAAAGTCTGAAAACATATAATTTATATTTGACTTGTTGACATGAAGAGATTAAAAAGTTTGATGAATTAATTTGATTTAAGAAATTTAATTTTCGATAAAAAAAATATTATGAAAAGGCAGACAAAACATGAGAAGAAATATTAAGAAAGGAATGGATCGGCAAATAATGATAATCACATTACCACATATTGCGAGTAGTATCATGTAATATTGCTTAATAATGGTGGAGAAGAAGAACGAAGAAATTTCACTTTCCATTTCAATTTGAATGGTTGTTGGTGGCTACACGAGATCAAAGTCAGAAATCTATCCATAATCTATTAGATCAACAAAAACAAGCATGTATAATAGATTTTTGCTAGCCGTGCTTCATTCATTCATGACATTATCGTTGATCACGTTTCTTTTCGTTCCTCTTATTTTGGATGTTCGTGTTATGGTTTCAAATTATTTGCATGTTTCACGTATGAGACAAACAAAGATGAATAAACCATATTCGCAACTAATGATATACTGCAATTTCTATCTAATTCATCCACTTTCAATTTCACAACTGAGAATGAATATCAAAGAAATTTCAAAGACCATTAAGTCAACATAAATCATCATAGTTCATGGAGCAATTTCTATGCCTTTCTCATTTTATTTCCACCTTTCTGCTCATATATGTGTGTATGATTGAGTTGCAATAAGCATTAAAAACAGAAGAAAACAGAATCGGACAAGTTTTCAATTTTAGAAAAATAAATTAAATTGCATAGTGGCGTAGAAAATTGTGTGCCACACTTAATTCTCATCGATGGATGCATTTATTGACTTTTTTGTTTGATCAAACATGACATTGAAAATGCAATTATACGCAATTTAATTGACTACAGCGGCATTTCTAATCTAATTTTCCTTTAATTTCTTCTTCATCATCGTGCCTCTCAATATTATTATTGTTATTGCACTATTCAGCATTGTATTTGAGCACAAAGAGACTTTAAAGCCACAGAATGAAAATATACAAAGTGAAGGAGCATTAAGGGATTATTAATTAATCAACAATTAAATTGGAAGAAGAAATCAAACTGAATGGAAGATGAAGTATAAGAAATAGGTCAGAAAATCTGTGAGATGTAAGTTTAAAGCTATTAAAATACAATTGTAGTCTTCTTTCCTTTCTTCTCTGCACCATTCATACATTTATGAAGTTGTGAATACTTCATTAATTCTAATCCTCTCAATAAAAACACACATCACTTGCTGTTAGCGGCAATAGTTACCATTTGATAAAGTCATAAAGATACAAATGATGCATTATTGTTATAATTGACAACAGAAGCATGAAGAAATTGCATGTGAATGATCGTGAAGCTGTGATGACGAGAGTTCTTGGTTGTAGGCAACGCGGAAGTAACAGAATGCTGTTACTGTGTTATAATTTTTGATGTCAATAACGAGATCGTTGGAACTGCTTTCTTACGTGTGGGCACATCGAATCTCTCTACTTCATTTTCTTTTATTCCTGTATCATCAACATGTATGTACAGCACTGCAGTGAAATGAGATAACATTCATTAGCTCATGATGTGAATTTCATTATTATAATGATAATACAAAGACTATCCAATAAATCGATGAACATGCTGTAGAAGTAGAAGGTAAAGTCTTTAACATTATAATTAACAAATGGTAATTTAATCGAAAGTAAAAGTACAGCATGTTCTCTATAATTGGACATCAACGCGACTATATCCACAACAGAGAAAAATTTCAATATCATTCTGTGATGCATTGATGCACTTCTCATGGAAAATTCATTGAATATTTATCATAGCAAGACGTCATTGTGAGCATTTTTACGATAAGCTATAACTTTCATTGATCAATAATTTAATAACCATTAAATTGACATAATTGATTCATTATCTATGCTCATTTGCATGTACTTGTATGCAACAATATTGCATATTTGCTGGATATGTACTGAATTTGAAGAAATTTCATAAATCTGATATGCAGGAACAATAAATTAAAGGTCGATATTATTAAACTTTTGCCAACATTGTTGTTTACACGGCATGAAATACATCGTATGAATAAGAGCATGAAGGAATTTGCTGATAAAGTTGTTAAATGCAGTTCTAACAATGCAATGCATACAATACAGAATAGTACATGATCATCTGCAGCTTTAAATATAGAGATTTTTCATATGTTAAAGTTCTTGGCATGCTTTTGTGCTATATTAGAGTATGTACATGCATTCTCAAAGAGTTGGAAAGAATTTCTTCAATTCTCTTTGGGCTTGAAGATGAAAATGTTTTCAGGATTGTGTATGAAACGTGCATTTAAAGTTCTTCCTATTTGGAATTTCTACTTGTTGAAAGCAGCAACTTTCTGAGCACAATGAACTAAGAGCGATAAGATCTCAGATATATATGAGCATATAGACACAAAGCTTGAAGAAAAACTTCCAATGCAACATAAATTCTCTCAGTTATTGCTGAAAATTTTGCTCTCAGAGCATCTTAAAGAGCTGCACATTTACTCAAATTTTCATTCCTTTCACTTCACATCTCACAAATCTTCAATATGAATGAATGAAAGAAGAAATGCTGGAAGTTTATAAAATGTATAGGCCTTGGCAATGAAATCTTCACTTCGTTTCAAACCGTCCGATCGTAAAGTTGTAAAATAGTATTTCCATTCTTTTATTTCTGTTTGTTTCTGCTCATTTTTATTATTAATTTTATTATTCGCACGAAAATCTCGCGGTCATTTGATTTTCATCATTCGTTGATTCAACAGCTATTAAGGAGTCATAAAGAACCTCCTCAACAAATTTCTCGTGTGGTTCATTAATTAAAATAAAATCGTGGCGATCAAATTAAGCAGGAAGAAGAAAGAAAAGTTTTTTTAAGTGCAAAAAAGAATTAAAAATCAGCAAAGTGTGGAACAAGCGAGCGTAAAGCTGTATTTTGTGCTCGATATTAACGACTCATGAATTAAAAAAAATCAGCAACTGTGTGGTACGAGAAAAACCTTTGTGCATTACAAAAAAGAATCAATTGAGTTAAAAAATAATAATTTTTTGATAAGTGAACGAACCAGAAAAAAAGAAAAGATTTTTTAATTCTCAAACGGATGCATTTTTAAAAGACTTCTCACGACTCTTTAGACACATTGCACATTGAGGAGTCAACGACAATTGTTATGAATTAAATTCAATTGAATTGGATGCAAAAAAAAGAAATAAAGAAAGAAAAGTAGGAAGTCAAATATAAAAGGAGAACGAAGTGGAATTAAAAAATATTTTTGCAATACAATAAAATTAGAAAAGAAGAAGGAAAAGAAATAAAATTCTTGCCTCAAGTGATCTCGGTAAATTAAAAACCATAACAGGAAATTAGTGCATTTATTATTGAAAAGAGAGCAGCAAAGTGTATCAAAATGTTAAAATTTATCATCATTTCAACATTATTATTACTGCAATTTATTTATGCTGAAGGTATAATTTTGGATAACATGAATTTTCATTTAAACAGTTTTTGATTAACCTATTAAAGTAAACAATTTTTTTAACCATATTCGGAATTTTAAAATTCAATTAAACCACGATTGCGATCAAAAAATTCAATTTCTTTTAATTGAAGTAAAATATCCGATGTTTAACTGAACATGAAAAATTAATTTTTTTATATACTTGTAACAGAAATTCAGCCTGTGGTAATAAATAAATTTGAGAATAATATGAACAGAGAAATGAAAGCTATCTCATCAAACTGTCCACGATCATGTCCACCATCAGAAGATCAACAGCCAGTATGTGGTAAGTTGCTGTTTCCACGTTGAATTAACTTTTAAATTTGTTGCAAATTGTATGATCCAAATCTGTTATAAACCTGCAAACCGGTAAACTCCACTGGATAATATGTGAAACATGGTTATTTATTTAAACAGGTACGGACGGAATTATTTATGCAAATTCTTGTGAATTAAAAAAGAAAACATGTACGAAAGGAAATATAAATGCGATTAAAGAAGATCCAGAGGGCTGTGAGCGTTCGAAAGGATCACAATGCAATCACAAGTATGATCATTCTTCTTTTAATATGAAAATGTTTTACGCAACATGACTAACAATAATGCCTTTCCACTTAAAGATGTCCATCGGAAAAAGATTTAGTGTGCGGTACAGACAGTAGAACTTATTTAAATCGTTGCATGTTGGCTGTTCAAGCATGTAGAGTAGGAAAAGCAGCTGTATCGTTAGCACACATGGGCTCATGCTTAAACGGTTCAGTTATTCGTGAGTCTTGCCCCGTCGATTGTAACAGCGCTCCCCAAGATGGGCCAGTTTGTGCATCAGATGGAAATGTATACAACTCAACATGTCAAATGAAATTGATCACGTGTGGGCAAGGTGTTGTAAGTAGTTATTTAATCACATCATATCTTATCTCCACATAAATATATTATTCACATGTATGTCTTTGAAGTAAGCATTTCCTCGCTGTTATTAATGACTCTCTCTTCTAATCATTTCGTTCTGTGCCTTTTTTTTGTTCTTCTGTTTTTCTTTGTTATTATGTTCGTGTATATGGATAAAAAAAAATCTTAATGAAATTTATGTGTTAGGTAAGAACAAGCAGAAAACATTGTCAAAGTACAAGAAATTGTCGAGAGTCATGTTGGAGAGTTGCTCGTCCAACGTGTGGTTCAGATGGTAGATTATATGCTAGTCCCTGTAAAATGCGATCATCAAATTGCGGCAAGCATGTTTTTGAGGTGCCAATTTCCTTCTGTATGTCACAACAAGAGAGAACTGGAAGCTTCAGTAATTATTATCAAGGTGATTGTCCTAAAGCATGCGACGGAATTGAAGAAAAGTACGTCTGTGGCAGTGACGGAAGCGTCTACACTTCAGAGTGTGAACTCAAAATGCTTAATTGCGGGTAAATATGTCAAAGAACCACTGATATTCTAGCCATTTATATTTAAATAATTGGTAAAAATACTAAAAATTCACAGAAGTCAAAAGAAAAATATCCAAGTAGTTCCAATCGAGAAATGTCAAAAGAAAATGGACAGGTGTAAGAAGAACACAGAAATCGCATGCAAGAGTCAAAAGAAACAGAATTCATTCTTTGGAAAAGAAGATACAATTTGCGGAACTGACTCCAAAACATATGCCAATGAATGTGAATTACAAAAGGCTACATGTTTGTAAGTCTTGCCTTTCATTTAAATTAATTAAGTGTAATTTAACTTTTTTAATCGCCCTTTTGTTATTTCTTCCTTAACAACTTCACAATTAAATCTTTATATCCATATATAAAGGCGAGGTGTTCAGATGGCACATATTGGAAGTTGTTCGAAATTAAGCAACGAGCATGCATGTGAGGCATGTACAGATGATGATTATGAATTGCAACCGATTTGTGCATCGAATGGTCAAGTCTATCAGAATAAATGCGAGATGAAGCAGCAAACTTGTGGGCTTCATGTTGTACCTGTATCATTACAAAACTGCCCAAAGACTCAATTCTGCGATGTCGATTGTGACTCATTGAACGGTCAACAACCAAGTTACATTTGTGGTTCTGACAATAAGCTATACAAGTCTGAGTGTCATATGAGAAAAGAGAATTGTGGAAAGCATGTATTCATTGTGCCAATTAAGAGATGTCTCACAACATTCACATTCAAAGGTTGTGCAACAATCTGCCCACAAGAATATGATCCTGTATGTGGAACCGATGGTAAAACATATTCAAATGAATGCTTTCTTTCCATTGAGAGATGCCGAACGAAGAATAAAATTATGAAAAAATATTTGGGACCATGTGGAAGACCTGAACAGTCGCCTGCAAATTATTTATATTAAATTAAATTTTTAAATTTTTAAAAAAATAGTTTTGATTTTTATAAGTCTTGTTTAAATAATTCTTAATAAGAAACAGTTCGTATGTTGCTTGAAGCGTTCGTCACCATGCTGTCTTAAAGATAATTAATTCGAAATTCTATGTTATTTATAGTTTTATTGCATGTAATTTGCTAGTCATTTACAAGTTTAGGTGAAAAAATTATTTTATGAATCGAAGAAATAAATGCTTGTTTGCTATTTAATTTATTATCTGCATAAAAACTGTAATCATTAATCATAAATCTTGGTGTTCTCATTTCGAATACTGAAACTTAATAGATTAGTTTATTTATAAAATAAAAAAAAAATTTCATTTTTTAATTTTGTAGTTTATTTATTTATTAATTTTTTCTTTATAAAATTTTCACTGAAAATAAAATCAATTGGAAATAATTTGTCAAATAAATAATGTCCATTTTTAATTTAAAGTACATGTTCGTTTTTATGTCATTTAACAAAAATAAATATTCCTATTTCTAATTATACTCCTAATATAAATAATTTACTGATTGTTTTTCAGGCCTTCCACAAGGTCCCATATATTTTTTCATAATATTATTTTTCGTTCGGCATCTCTCAATGGAAAGAAAGCATTCATTTGAATATGTTTTACCATCGGTTCCACATACAGGATCATATTCTTGTGGGCAGATTGTTGCACAACCTTTGAATGTGAATGCTGTGAGACATCTCTTAATTGGCACAATGAATACATGCTTTCCACAATTCTCTTTTCTCATATGACACTCAGACTTGTATAGCTTATTGTCAGAACCACAAATGTAACTTGGTTGTTGACCGTTCAATGAGTCACAATCGACATCGCAGAATTGAGTCTTTGGGCAGTTTTGTAATGATACAGGTACAACATGAAGCCCACAAGTTTGCTGCTTCATCTCGCATTTATTCTGATAGACTTGACCATTCGATGCACAAATCGGTTGCAATTCATAATCATCATCTGTACATGCCTCACATGCATGCTCGTTGCTTAATTTCGAACAACTTCCAATATGTGCCATCTGAACACCTCGCCTTTACATATGGATATAAAGATTTAATTGTGAAGTTGTTAAGGAAGAAATAACAAAAGGGCGATTAAAAAAGTTAAATTACACTTAATTAATTTAAATGAAAGGCAAGACTTACAAACATGTAGCCTTTTGTAATTCACATTCATTGGCATATGTTTTGGAGTCAGTTCCGCAAATTGTATCTTCTTTTCCAAAGAATGAATTCTGCTTCTTTTGACTCTTGCATGCGATTTCTGTGTTCTTCTTACACCTGTCCATTTTCTTTTGACATTTCTCGATCGGAACTACTTGAATATTTTTCTTTTGACTTCTGTGAATTTTTAGTATTTTTAACAATTATTTAAATATAAATGGCTAGAATATCAGTGGTTCTTTGACATATTTACCCGCAATTAAGCATTTTGAGTTCACACTCTGAAGTGTAGACGCTTCCGTCACTGCCACAGACGTACTTTTCTTCAATTCCGTCGCATGCTTTAGGACAATCACCTTGATAATAACTACTGAAGCTTCCAGTTCTCTCTTGTTGTGACATACAGAAGGAAATTGGCACCTCAAAAACATGCTTGCCGCAATTTGATGATCGCATTTTACAGGGACTAGCATATAATCTACCATCTGAACCACACGTTGGACGAGCAACTCTCCAACATGACTCTCGACAATTTCTTGTACTTTGACAATGTTTTCTGCTTGTTCTTACCTAACACATAAATTTCATTAAGATTTTTTTTTATCCATATACACGAACATAATAACAAAGAAAACAGAAGAACAAAAAAAAAGGCACAGAACGAAATGATTAGAAGAGAGAGTCATTAATAACAGCGAGGAAATGCTTACTTCAAAGACATACATGTGAATAATATATTTATGTGGAGATAAGATATGATGTGATTAAATAACTACTTACAACACCTTGCCCACACGTGATCAATTTCATTTGACATGTTGAGTTGTATACATTTCCATCTGATGCACAAACTGGCCCATCTTGGGGAGCGCTGTTACAATCGACGGGGCAAGACTCACGAATAACTGAACCGTTTAAGCATGAGCCCATGTGTGCTAACGATACAGCTGCTTTTCCTACTCTACATGCTTGAACAGCCAACATGCAACGATTTAAATAAGTTCTACTGTCTGTACCGCACACTAAATCTTTTTCCGATGGACATCTTTAAGTGGAAAGGCATTATTGTTAGTCATGTTGCGTAAAACATTTTCATATTAAAAGAAGAATGATCATACTTGTGATTGCATTGTGATCCTTTTGAACGCTCACAGCCCTCTGGATCTTCTTTAATCGCATTTATATTTCCTTTCGTACATGTTTTCTTTTTCAATTCACAAGAATTTGCATAAATAATTCCGTCTGTACCACATACGGGTTCTTGATCCTCTGCTGGTGGACATAATCGTGGACAGTTTGATGATATAGCTTTCATTTCCCTATTAGCATTTTGACTTCCTTCTATGACTGTCGGGTTTGAATCTGTAAAAATAAATTTAATTGGATTCAAGAGATGAATGAAAGACATTATGATGACACGCTGGAGAATTGTACATTAACTATTACTGCCTCATCAGTTTAGCATATGCTTGTTTGTAAGGTATTTCATAAGTAGACTTTGATTGACATTGGATGAAATTACAACACTGGGAAAAGAAAGCAAAAAAAAAATGCTTTCGCTTTCATTCAATGTCAATATCTTAGGTCATAACTAATAGATTTTTTTCCCATATAACGATGATTATGTTTTTTTTTTCTTATGTTACTCATGCCTACATATGTTAATTAACTTTCTAACGAAGCTACTCCAATCAATGTACTGTTGATATTATGGAATAATATTAAATAGATTTATTATTTTGATTGACTCGATTATCAATTTAATGAATGATAATTTTGATGTCTTAATATGTCCATTAGCAAATCATCGTCAAAAAGGTGAATGACGCATCCAAAAAAAGGAAGTCAAAAAGCTAAAATTAATTCATAATTTTTTCCAATCTCTTTTTTTATCGCATTTCTTTTCTTCTTATTCCTTTTTTTTTGTCCATTCAGTAGCTGACAACAATCTTAATTTATTTTTTCGGAATCGAAATAAAAGTGAAATCACATTAAACTGAATAAATATAAATCAGATGACAATGACATTGTTTATTTTCCTCTCGTTTCAAGTAGAATATTTTTCTTATTTCTCAATGCTTCAAGAGTCTCTTTTTATATTCACATAAATTAATTATTTTCACTCGAAAGTGTTTTACTTTCATTAAAGCAATGAAAATTTAATTTTTTTTAAAAAACCGGTTGAATTTCAAGTTGTGAAAGTGCTGTGATTTATTCTCAGAAGATTTAGAATTTTAAATTTGCCGTTATAAATGAAAAATTGCGCACCACATAAATCCATAAATCGTCTTTACGAGTAAGGGACCGTTCACTTATGACGTTTAACATTTAGGGGGGGGGGGGGGGGGTCTAGGATTTTGTGACAGCTCAAATAAAGGAAATTTTTTTCTACAGATATTTTGTGACAGAGGGGGGGGGGGGGGGGCTAGAAAACATGTTTTTGTGGACGTCAAAACTCACTGACCCAAATAACGATGTTAATTAGCCGATATCAAGTTGAAAAGATCAGTGTTTATAGTTAATTGTGTCAGGTGATTCTTCGATCATCAAAGAAGCTGGCCAATGTGGAAGTAAAGAATCATAAGCTGCGTATCGATTACGGATCGAAATCATGAAATTAAATGTACACGATTATTATTCTCTTCTTCATTTTCACCTTCTTCTTCCGATTGTCGGACACTGTCCGTGCTTCTGTTATTGTTGCTGCTGCTACTACTGTTTTCTTTATGAATATTAAGTTTCAAATAATCAACGGTAAACTCACGAAAATTTCTCCACTTGAGCACACAATTCATTCTGTTTTTCTTTTTTTCAGAGTCAAGTCAAGTCTCTAAGAAAAAAGTATATTGAAAGCACAAGACAAGCACAAGAAGTATCACTTAAAATTGATTACTTTATTTTTTTTTGCACATTTCGTCTTATATTGTAAATTGAGTCAATTACAGTTTTCAAAATGACAAAAAACTTGACAAGCGATGAAAGGGGAGTTTTCTTTCATTATAATAGACATCCATTCTCGCATCACTTCACAGACGTTTCGAATTGAAATTAAATCGAGCGATTGTTGTGCATAGAGAGCAAAAATAGAATGTCTATAATTATTTTGTGATTTGACTTATTTAAGCCAGTCAGAGGTGGAACGAGAAATCATGACGGAAGGGGAATCTGATTTAACATGAACCGGTTTGGAGGGTTACGAACTTTGACCTAATGTAGCAAGAATAGGGTTGGATATCCTAAGTAGCCACTGATGGGTTGATCATAAATCTGCAATTCTTAGAAATCCCTTTAAAGTCAATCAGGAGGATGATAGTAGCCCCTTGGACCTCCCTGTCTATGAAACCAGTAACTTTAGTGAGCAGTAAGTTGGAAATTGTTCAAAAAAGTTTGTTGAAAGTATAGAATTAATTTAATGCGCATAATTCATTCAGAAAAGTGGCAGTCGTGCAGTCAATATGAAAATAATATTGTATTTTTTTCATAAAAGACAGCATGACTGAGATAAAGGAGTCTCGAAACCCATAACAATATCAAATTGAATTATCGTTCGTGTTCTGCATTTTTTCGAAGTCAAATCAAGTCAAATATGATTGTATGGCAATTGAAATCACTCCAATTAAATTATTTGATTCTTTATATTCATTTATCTCGTTAGATTCACGAAAAGTGTGTCACCTTCAACAATTATTTGAGCCATTGAATGTCACATTTCTTTCTAGAGCATTTATAAATTTTTTTTTTAATATTTTCTTTCTTTAACATTAAATTGAACCAAAATAAGTATTGAGAAAATGAAGCAATTGCTATATTGAGAATAATAATCGAGTTGAAGAAGAAGAAGTTAATCTCCACAATAAGAAATAACAGCGATTTTCAACATATAATCAAGATTTTGTTTAATCTTTATGCAAAATCAACAAGGAGAGTTAACATGTGAACTAATGTTAATGACTTTAAAGTTCATGTGATTCTTAAACGCAACGGAAGCATGATTATCGCAAGTGCAGTTAAGAGTTTTTAATTGAAGAAAATGTTTTTTTTTTTTTGGAATGTTTGTGGAAAACTGTATAAAGAAATCCGCAAATTCTTAAAACCGAGAATCTTTATGGTTTAAGCTTAACTGAGATGAAAAAATTAAAATTTGTTTAAATAAGTTTGGAGTATCTATATATTTTAGAGTACTTAAAATTTGATTTATGTTTTTATTTTTCTGGTATTTAAATTGGAAGTTCGAATGTAATAAGCGAATATGAACCCATACCGTCCATAGATCAGTCATGGGCGTTCACAAAATTGACTCTTTACTTATTATTTAAATGATCTTTCCGTCTGTTGACAATTTATTGCAGCCAGAACAGAGAAAAAGGAACTAAATCTTGTCCTGGGCTGTTTTCTTTATCTATTCAGTAAACCTTATCTGAATCTTATATAAAGAGACTGAGAAACTGAGAGGTACTCAGAAACCAGACCAGACATTACCTTGCATCAAACCAGGGCCAGATCTCTTCGCATCTCCTAAAAAACTGGTCTCTCCCACTGAAAAGCACAAGTAATATCCCCTTTTAAAATTAGTAAATTAAGAATCTAGTCAAGCCTCAAAAGATTTTTCGAGATAATCTAAAACCTCTTAATCCCAGCCTCAAAAAAAAAATGAAACTCTTCTCATCATGATCAGCCATTTAAAAAGAATTCTTTTCAATTAGTATCAAATGATTCCACAGAATTTACTGTCACACACGAGTTACGAGGTTGTAAATAACAACCGCTATATGGTCATCATATGGACACAAAAAATTGCTTTATTCTGTTACTTAATGCAATTAAAGTGATATTAATGTTGAAAGAATTTTTTTTATTTAATGTCTTAAGAATGTAGCGTATAAAATTTCGGTTGTGTCAATACCTTCTAGGCTTTCCCAGCGAAAAATCTAGGTAATTAAAAAGTGATTAACTGATGCATGTTACTTAATACTCAAACTCATTTATAAAATTTATAATCTTTCTCATTTCAAGTTGTCGACAAAAACATAAATCGCTCAGTGTTTTTAATGCCTTCTTGTATTAAATTCTTCACTATTTTCTCCATCATAAATTTTCATTATAATTCACTTTAGCTTGAGAAGAAAGTTGTAAGAAATTTGTCTTTCTTGAACCAGCAATGGAGTATCTTTTGAAGCTTTAATAAGGTGTGAATTTTGCTGGCAAGCAAGAGCACTCAAGATTTTCAAGTTTACTTTACAAGATGTACGTGCTTGTATAAATGTCTTAAATGTGGATGCTAAACTTTCTATTAATTTATGCATCTGGTGAACAAAGCCAATAATGAAAGAAAAAGTCGCATTTTGCTCATTATTTTGTTGTTTCGAGCAGTTCCGAGAGGAAAAAAGAAAGAAAAATCCACTTTGAAATACGAAAATAAGCAAAAATCTTGTCACTTAAGTGTTGTTTGAGAAACATCAATGCGGTTACTAAAAACGGAACATTTTTTTTAAACATGACAATGTAATCTAAATCTTTATCTCATTTTTTTTTATTCCTCACATTTTTACAGCTCACTATTTATCAAATTCATTTTCATCAAAGAATAAAAGAAGATGACGGAAATAAGCGACTGAATTATAGATTGTGAGTGTCACGCTATAATGTCTAACACTAACACTGAATTGCAGTGGGGAGCAGACTGTGTGTTGCAGTCTAATCTTGAAACAGAGAATCTCAGCTTAATCTCGTTTACAGAGGCTGGGATTATAGATATGCTGCGACATGCTGAGGCTTATAATAATGTGAGAACGGTCCAACCTTTTAAACTAGAGGCACTGCTATTAATATTGTGTAGAATCTGTTGAATATTACATTTAGATCAGTAGATTGAAATAAATCTAAATCATTTGCAAGCTTTGGACATTCAAAAGGCTTGAGTACTAAAATAAATACCTGACATACACTAGATCTAGTAATCAAGACGTTAAAAATTAATTTTAAGCCATCTTTAAGCTGGTCTTCAATGAATTCAGCCTTGTTTTAAGCTTAAAATATAAAATTGCTGGTTACGTGGGGAAATAAACCTAGCAAAAGATTCCAAACTTTAGACAATCATAGGCAGTTATAGGCTTTATTCCATCATTTAAAAAAGTTTGAGCAGCACTGCTGTATATTATTATAATGATTATAAATAATATAAGAAAGAAAATTCATTGTTCTTATTCATCATCAATTGAAAATGCATTGACATGACTGTGTTGCATTTCTTTCTCTTTCTACTTCCACTACTTCTTATGACAGTTAGTAAGAATTAATTTTATCTTGACAAAGCATAAAAATGCATCATCAACACTTAAAGCCAATGATATGCTTTCTCTCTTATTTCTGCATTTTTATATCCATATGCAAGAATTGCTATTATTAAGTAAGCATAAAAAAAGTATTAGGTGGTCGGTCGATGCTTTATAGCTAACATTTAATATGGAAACGTCCCAATTTACTATTCGTTCCTTATTATTTTCTAAGCTTGCATATTTTTTAATGCTCTTTTTTTATTTTACATTGCAAGAACATTACGAGTATGTTTGTAGCAAGCAAGCCACCTCTTTTTGTTAATTAAGGGTAATAAAAATAGAGAACAACAGTTATGGTACTTGTAAGTAATGTTATGAAATGCAAAGAGGCATAAAAAAATATTCTTTTTTTAAAGTTAATGTTAATGAACTAATTTGAATAAAGTTAGTAATTGTTTGGTTCAAAATGCTTTAAGGAATTTTTAAATGCATTTTCGAACAAATTACAACTAGACAAAAATTGTTGTTTCTTTTTGAGAAATTCATAAAAAGTTAAAGACGATTAGCCATTGAAACCGATTGTCGGTGAATTATAATCATATTTAAGACCTACCAAGAGCATAAACAAATTGCAGCAATAAAAATGTTGAAATGATGATAAATTTTAACATGATGATTCTGTTCTGCTTTCTCTTCTTCCTTTTTACTGAATTATTGAATTGAGTGCACTAAATTATTGTGATGGTTTTTAATTTATTGAGATCACTTAGGGCAAGAATTTTATTTCTTTTCCTTCTTCTTTTCTAATTCTATTGTATTGCAAAAATATTTTTTAATTCCACTTCGTTCTCCTTTTATATTTGACTTCCTACTTTTCTTTCTTTATTTCTTTTTTTTTGCATCCAATTCAATTGAATTTAATTCATAACAATTGTCGTTGACTCCTCAATATGCAATGTGTCTAAAGAGTCGTGAGAAGTCTTTTAAAAATGCATCCGTTTGAGAATTAAAAAATCTTTTCTTTTTTTCTGGTTCGTTCACTTATCAAAAAATTATTATTTTTCAACTCAATTGATTCTTTTTTGTAATGCACAAAGGTTTTTCTCGTACCACACAGTTGCTGATTTTTTTTAATTCATGAGTCGTTAATATCGAGCACAAAATACAGCTTTACGCTCGCTTGTTCCACACTTTGCTGATTTTTAATTCTTTTTTGCACTTAAAAAAACTTTTCTTTCTTCTTCCTGCTTAATTTGATTGCCACGATTTTATTTTAATTAATGAACCACACGAGAAATTTGTTGAGGAGGTTCTTTATGACTCCTTAATAGCTGTTGAATCAACGAATGATGAAAATCAAATGACCGCGAGATTTTCGTGCGAATAATAAAATTAATAATAAAAATGAAATGTGCAGAAACAAACAGAAATAAAAGAATGGAAATACTATTTTACAACTTTACGATCGGACGGTTTGAAACGAAGTGAAGATTTCATTGCCAAGGCCTATACATTTTATAAACTTCCAGCATTTCTTCTTTCATTCATTCATATTGAAGATTTGTGAGATGTGAAGTGAAAGGAATGAAAATTTGAGTAAATGTGCAGCTCTTTAAGATGCTCTGAGAGCAAAATTTTCAGCAATAACTGAGAGAATTTATGTTGCATTGGAAGTTTTTCTTCAAGCTTTGTGTCTATATGCTCATATATATCTGAGATCTTATCGCTCTTAGTTCATTGTGCTCAGAAAGTTGCTGCTTTCAACAAGTAGAAATTCCAAATAGGAAGAACTTTAAATGCACGTTTCATACACAATCCTGAAAACATTTTCATCTTCAAGCCCAAAGAGAATTGAAGAAATTCTTTCCAACTCTTTGAGAATGCATGTACATACTCTAATATAGCACAAAAGCATGCCAAGAACTTTAACATATGAAAAATCTCTATATTTAAAGCTGCAGATGATCATGTACTATTCTGTATTGTATGCATTGCATTGTTAGAACTGCATTTAACAACTTTATCAGCAAATTCCTTCATGCTCTTATTCATACGATGTATTTCATGCCGTGTAAACAACAATGTTGGCAAAAGTTTAATAATATCGACCTTTAATTTATTGTTCCTGCATATCAGATTTATGAAATTTCTTCAAATTCAGTACATATCCAGCAAATATGCAATATTGTTGCATACAAGTACATGCAAATGAGCATAGATAATGAATCAATTATGTCAATTTAATGGTTATTAAATTATTGATCAATGAAAGTTATAGCTTATCGTAAAAATGCTCACAATGACGTCTTGCTATGATAAATATTCAATGAATTTTCCATGAGAAGTGCATCAATGCATCACAGAATGATATTGAAATTTTTCTCTGTTGTGGATATAGTCGCGTTGATGTCCAATTATAGAGAACATGCTGTACTTTTACTTTCGATTAAATTACCATTTGTTAATTATAATGTTAAAGACTTTACCTTCTACTTCTACAGCATGTTCATCGATTTATTGGATAGTCTTTGTATTATCATTATAATAATGAAATTCACATCATGAGCTAATGAATGTTATCTCATTTCACTGCAGTGCTGTACATACATGTTGATGATACAGGAATAAAAGAAAATGAAGTAGAGAGATTCGATGTGCCCACACGTAAGAAAGCAGTTCCAACGATCTCGTTATTGACATCAAAAATTATAACACAGTAACAGCATTCTGTTACTTCCGCGTTGCCTACAACCAAGAACTCTCGTCATCACAGCTTCACGATCATTCACATGCAATTTCTTCATGCTTCTGTTGTCAATTATAACAATAATGCATCATTTGTATCTTTATGACTTTATCAAATGGTAACTATTGCCGCTAACAGCAAGTGATGTGTGTTTTTATTGAGAGGATTAGAATTAATGAAGTATTCACAACTTCATAAATGTATGAATGGTGCAGAGAAGAAAGGAAAGAAGACTACAATTGTATTTTAATAGCTTTAAACTTACATCTCACAGATTTTCTGACCTATTTCTTATACTTCATCTTCCATTCAGTTTGATTTCTTCTTCCAATTTAATTGTTGATTAATTAATAATCCCTTAATGCTCCTTCACTTTGTATATTTTCATTCTGTGGCTTTAAAGTCTCTTTGTGCTCAAATACAATGCTGAATAGTGCAATAACAATAATAATATTGAGAGGCACGATGATGAAGAAGAAATTAAAGGAAAATTAGATTAGAAATGCCGCTGTAGTCAATTAAATTGCGTATAATTGCATTTTCAATGTCATGTTTGATCAAACAAAAAAGTCAATAAATGCATCCATCGATGAGAATTAAGTGTGGCACACAATTTTCTACGCCACTATGCAATTTAATTTATTTTTCTAAAATTGAAAACTTGTCCGATTCTGTTTTCTTCTGTTTTTAATGCTTATTGCAACTCAATCATACACACATATATGAGCAGAAAGGTGGAAATAAAATGAGAAAGGCATAGAAATTGCTCCATGAACTATGATGATTTATGTTGACTTAATGGTCTTTGAAATTTCTTTGATATTCATTCTCAGTTGTGAAATTGAAAGTGGATGAATTAGATAGAAATTGCAGTATATCATTAGTTGCGAATATGGTTTATTCATCTTTGTTTGTCTCATACGTGAAACATGCAAATAATATGAAACCATAACACGAACATCCAAAATAAGAGGAACGAAAAGAAACGTGATCAACGATAATGTCATGAATGAATGAAGCACGGCTAGCAAAAATCTATTATATATGTTTGTTTTTGTTGATCTAATAGATTATGGATAGATTTCTGACTTTGATCTCATGTAGCCACCAACAACCATTCAAATTGAAATGGAAAGTGAAATTTCTTCGTTCTTCTTTTTCTTCTTCTCCACCATTATTAAGCAATATTACATGATACTACTCGCAATATGTGGTAATGTGATTATCATTATTTGCCGATCCGTTCCTTTCTTCATATTTATTCTCATGTTTTGTCTGCCTTATTATAATATTTTTTTTTATCGAAAATTAAATTTCTTAAATCAAATTAATTCATCAAAGTTTTTAATCTCTTCATGTCAACAAGTCACACATAAATTATATGTATTCAGACTTTATTCCTGAACTGATTGTGTCTTTTGTATGAATTTCAAACTCAAATTATTTCCTTCTTTAAAGTTCAGCGAAAGTTTTTTGAAATGTACAGATTGATTTATTCCCACTGCGGTTGTCAATTCACGATTTAGAGAATGGACTTTTGTGCATTGCAATGAACAGTTTTCATTCGAACGTCGCATAATAAACTTTCTTTGTACTTTCTGTTACTGCCCAGCACTGTTTTTTTTTTTATTTTAATTATTCGTAACACAAAAAAAAGAATACTTACCGATCTTGTCACTTCGAGATTTAAAGAACAAATGACCATATTCTTGGAAAAACGCGTGTTTTATAAACAATCAGAAGAGATGCAAAAATTAATAAAAATGATGCGAAATCTAATTTGAATTTTATAAAGCCGTTAAATAAAAAAAAAAATAATCAAAAACAAATTTAAGCTTTTTATTACAATGTTGGGAAGTTGAAAGATGCAGCTCATTAAGCTGATTGATGCTCATTAAAATAAGAGAGAAGCTTTGTCAAATTATTAATGCTGCTTTGTATGATCAATAAAAGAAAATGGAATATGATTAAGATGGAGAGATTTATGATAGGACAATAAAAAAGCATTTAAGAAAATTAGACAATTTCACGCCTCGTAGCATTTTTGTTCACACAATGCTGCACAATGATAATAGATTTGCTGACACACTATTATGGTCAAACATAGTGAAAGATCTCATTAGTATTCGGAGTTAATCTTATGAGGATTAAACATTTATATGATTTTAGAGTTGTGCAAAGACAGTTTATCGGATGTACATCAATAGCTTTTCAACTGATACACATCGTCTTATAAATATGTGCATTTCAAATGCATAAAGAGACGAGAAAATGCGAGATAAGACGCGATTTTTCAATTATTTGAGACTCGTCTTTCAAGAGTGAAAACTTTGTTTATTGTGGAGTGTCCATTGAATTATCTTTATGTGCTTTGCTGTGTTTAAGCATTTGCTGAGTAACGAACGCTTCATAATTTGTAATATTGTCATTCCATTTATGCTGCACACTCCATAAATTAACTTATTAATGCTGCAAAATTAAATATAATGAACAATTTCTTCATGGAATTTTCCCGAGAGTTTCGACTCCAATTGAATTTAAAAAAACACGACTTACGTAGAAAGCCACGAACTTCCACGCTTGACTTATGTTAGATAACAAAATAGTTGTCAAATTTCTCGAAAAGATCGAACACAGATGTTGAAAGATGCTTTCAATGTGGAGCACAGCTCGTCCACTCCCCTTCCTACAGCTAAGACTCCCATCAAAAGCTATGTTATTATCTCGAGAACTTTAAAAAATTTAATCTTCAGATAAATTCGTTTGCACGCGAAAAATTTTCAAAATTCAAAAAAACCGTTTTTTGGCGTTTTGAAGGCATAGATGATTCCAATTGTAAAAGTTTATATTCAGAAAAATCCGGCCTCCTATTACACATATTTTGGGACCCTTTGGAAGTTAACATATCTAGGTATTATAAATGATATAGAATGCTAATATAGATATAAAATTAAATTTTTTTTTGAAAATAGCCTACTATGATCGAAACCAAAAATGCTTTAAATTGCATTTTAAAACATATCTAGGTATTATAAATGATAAAAAATGCTAATATAGATATAAAATCGATATTTTTTTGAAAATAGCCTACTATGATCGAAACCAAAAATGCTTTAAATTGCATTTTAAAACATATCTAGGTATTATAAATGATAAAGAATGCTAATATAGATATAAAATCGATATTTTTTTGAAAAGAGCCAACTATGATCGAAACCAAAAATGCTTTAAATTGCATTTTAAAACATATCTCGGTATTATAAATGATAAAGAATGCTAATATAGATATAAAATCGATATTTATTTTTTTGAAAATAGCCTACTATGATCGAAACCAAAAATGCTTTAAATTGCATTTTAAAACATATCTAGGTATTATAAATAATAAAGAATGCTAATATAGATATAAAATCGATATTTTTTTTTGAAAATAGCCTACTATGATCGAAACCAAAAATGCTTTAAATTGCATTTTAAAACATATCTAGGTATTATAAATGATAAAGAATGCTAATAAAGATATAAAATTAAATTTTTTTTTGAAAATAGCCTACTATGATCGAAACCAAAAATGCTTTAAATTGCATTTTAAAACATATCTAGGTATTATAAATAATAAAGAATGCTAATATAGATATAAAATCGATATTTTTTTTTGAAAATAGCCTATGATCGAAACCAAAAATGCTTTAAATTGCATTTTAAAACATATCTAGGTATTATAAATGATAAAGAATGCTAATAAAGATATAAAATTAAATTTTTTTTTGAAAATAGCCTACTATGATCGAAACCAAAAATGCTTTAAATTGCATTTTAAAACATATCTAGGTATTA